TGGAAATAATCTACAATAAGAAGATTAACAGTAGATGCTGTCAATCATAATAAAAACAAGAAAGACCTGATACACATGACGTTGATCACCACCTAGTGATGAATCAATTGTGAATACATCTCAGTTCTATAGGAGGTTAGTAGCGGCCCAGATAGCCCAGTAATAACATCTCTGGCTGTGGAGCTTAGTGATACGGGATTAAATCCATCAGGTAGCACCAGTTCCTTCAAGATTACAGGTACACCTTGCTGACGAGTGCCAAATAGCACGAAACCCGTATCCATGGTTTCTTGTTGATTGCCTCCAACCACCATCTTATCTCAACATAGTGCACGCAATGTCGAGTCACCTAGACTACATTACAGCTTGGTCGATAGCATTCGATCTGCACTAGGAAGAAACTGACACACATGACATTGGTCACCACCCAATGGTCAATCAATTGTGAAAAAACAAGTGTTTTATTCACTTACATCTCATCATTTCTCTCAAGATATTAATTTATATTTTAAAATTAATCATTATCTAACGTATGTTAATAGTATAGATTAATGGTGTTTTTAATGATCGTTAACTGAAATATAAGAATCTTAAATCGATGCAGCTACAAAAATCGCTGAGATAATATGCTTTCTTCTCAAACATATATAAAAGTTTTATCAGCAAAAGTGGGAAATTCTATACTTATCATAAACCAAATAACACAATATTTAGATTAGCCTAAAGATCCCATAACCTATTTTTTAGTTTGAGGTGTAATATCTTGATTCAAATATCAGTTTCTCTAGATTGTGATAGAGAGTGACTGAACAAATGAGATGAAGTATAAGAAAATACAAGGCATTAGAAAGACGTTTTTACATTACTTCAAATCAGAATAATAGTAAGCCAAGAGAAATATGATTATTATGATCAAATGATTTGAATGAGAATAATCGTTAGCTCACACTATAATTAATGCCATTATCAAAACGAATGGTGATAAGTCTTCTAACTAGACGGTCGAATCGGTTTACTAACCTCTTCTATAACATCCAGGCTAAATCTACGCGACAACTTAAACATGAGAGAATAGGCTCGAGGTCAGAAAAGAACGCTTTACTCAGAGGTTAATTCATATACAGAAAATTAAGAGTATTTATGTCATTTCGGATGCCCTTGGGCTTCTGAGGGTTTCTGGAATCATACTGAATATAGTCGGAGGATAACTTATAACAGCTCACGTTCTATTGAGTTTTTTCACATTTAATTCGGCTAAGTCATTTTATTAACTTATTAACGAACTGAGTCATCCGTACAACAACTTATATATATCATAGTATCTTTATTATTGTTGCGAGTGTATGGACATGTATGCTTGGCATTGCTTACCGCCTACGCATTTATTCACGCTACTAGCCTTACTATTAACCGCTTAATTGATTCGATGATTCATTCATTTCACTATGTATATACGTCCATGTTATTCATGTTCATCGCTCTCTCGCTCTCTCTTCCTCTGGCTCTCTTGACCTTGCTCTCTCTCTCTCTCTCGCGTGCCTGTTTGCTTTTCGGCACAACTTTTTCATGCTAGCTTGATGCATCTGTAATTTTCAATATCTGTGTGTGGTCCCATAATAAACGTCATCAACACTTTGTATTCGCCTTCTGATTAATATACCGTTGGAGCGTTATTTAGTGACAGTTACCAAGACGAACTGTATACGGAGTTTAAGGAATATATCGAACACCGACCACCACAAATTAATCATTCAATCAGAAACATGATATATGACTCTTCACGCTCCAGATTCTTCTGAGAAGCTTCTATTTAATGCTTATTGTGTAAAATGTTTCCCAGAGTTTTCATAGCCTTTCTGAACCTTTTCGAGGGACGCTTTAGATCTCCCCATCACTTGTTTTTTTTTTACAAAAATAAGAGTTCTCAAGGTGTGAACACATTTGTCACTCCTATGTCAATTGATTAAGCTATTATTCGTCATATCAAATAATAGAAGTACATACTTTGAAAGTAAAGAAATCATAACAGATGGGAAATAATTATATTCTACAGGACCCGAACCTACTGTGTTTTATTGCATTAAAATTTTTATTTAGTATTAAATCGAATCTCACGTAGTTGTTTTACAAAATTTTGAACTCATTTGAACTAGACGGACTAGAAAATCATCTTAACTTCTAAAGTTCATTCTCTAGCTCTTCTTTAAGACTGTATATACACTCGGGTATTATGTAAACGTATTGGGTTGGAAATTATCTCGCGTATCTGTGGGTAGAAATTCATCGCACACCAAATGTCTACAGTATTTAATCCTTATCATGTAAATATCTAAATTTATGATAAGCCAGTAGTAAAGCTGTTGGTGGTAATTTGCACATAAGTACGATTGGGAGAAATTGAAATCAAACTGTGAAATGAAAAACAAAGATTTCGTGAATGGGTAGAAGCATTAATCAGATAAGAGCAACATTTATGCGTCGAATTGCTTAAGTGGATATACGCTATTGAATGATAGTAAGTAGTGTAACGTGAAATAGAAAAATAACCTTTTTAAAAACATGTTAGAAATAGATTTAGAATGGCTAAATATATGCGATTCAAGTAATTAAAAGACTAGAATAATTTAATTGAATCTGTATATACATACATGATCATAAATTATACCGAAGCTTCGAAGTAGTTAGTGTGAACCAAATATCCAGAAAAAGAGCCCCTTACAACGTCGTATTTCAACTTACAAATCTACCGGGTGAAGAGAATGAAGTTGAACATGAAAATTGACATGTGGTATTCTTTCAATACCTCTAGAAAGCATAATGGATGAGCTTTTTAAATAATATAAAGGACTAGTGATACTTTACGTTTTCGCCTATTGTGAATTATAAAAACTCGAATCCGCTGAAAAGAACAAAGACATAAGTTTGAAAAAAGTAATGCTTCTACTCCTAACTGTTACCTATCTCTTAAATTTTCTGACGATTATTGGGATACACATTTATCAAACACGACTGATGATTGTCTATAGATCCAAATATAATATTTTTATCACTTACTCAACAATAGTGAATTCATGTGATAATATTATTTCCAAATTTCAATAAGTATAGCTTGCAAAGTACTTGAGGAAGAATAACTCCTAAATGTCATGTCTCATGAAACATATTTTGTACTTGTTGATCACCTTTGCAGAAAAATATGTGAGAAGTTGTGACAAAATATCCGGTCTCAGATATAAGAGAAATATTTCATGTTGCATTTGTGGGCCTCACCTTTGAATACCATTTTTTGGGACGCAATGTATGAAACTTTAGTGTTGATAAGATAGATCAGAAGGGCATCAATATATGTACGTCTTTAATTTCTGACTTGTAAGGTATAGAATAAAAAAGCAGTCGAAAAGAGTAGAAATGGAACAATGATAGTGAATCTCTGAACAATTTAGTAGTGGTAAATTTGGGTTTGAATAACTGTGGACAATGTACATGAATTTTAGAATATCTTATAAATAATGATCATTGCTGAGTAAACTTCTATTATGACGGGATGAAAGGTCAAAATTTGATGGATTTATTCGTTATGATTTTTATTCAACATTAATTCCGTTTAATACAATTTGATGATCACTAAGTATAGGATTTGTTTCATTTTCCCCGATGACATTTTATTCTGTATAACATATGATATTCTTGTATGAAATATTATTCATATATGTTATTTATTCTATTAATCAAAAATGGGTGTGCAAACCAATATATAAATGAGTGTATTTCCGATTAAACTGGTCGGAATCACTCGTACTTCTGGATACTTTCAGAATATATTTCCCTGTTCGAACTTCGACTTTTCTCTCTAGTTCGCGGGGCTGGAAAGCATCAGAATTGCTAGCTTATTGGTCTTTGGTCACAGAGTTTTCAATCCGTTCGCAGATTAGGTGAACTCGTAATCGCTTTAAACACATCAACTTCAAAGTCTTAAATTACTGAGATAGTTTGCTGTATTTGTGACATTACTAAAATGTTATTTCGATCGTCAATATATACTCGAATTTTGTCCGAACAGAGACGTATGTCGATATAATCGAAGTTTCACTGAAATAGTATGTTCTTCAGAGTAAAGCAAATTAGCATTGGAATAAAATAAGAACCTACGATATTGCTTATTACGTCATCACACATTAAAATTAGTATGAAACGCCTTCTGATGGCTGTCTATAAAATAGTTCATTTTTCGGAAGCTGATATGAAAACAGGTAAACATCATAGAAAGGATATCGAATTTGGTATTTCAACAAAACGAGTTTTCAACTTGACGGTTTTCCAAATAAATAAAATGGAAGGGAAGATTTTAAAAAGGAGAATCAAAAATTCTCTTTACTTCTTAAGTTAAGAAAATACATATATCTTAGTTGGTTATAAAATACATCAAAGGTAAAGGGAAGGATGCAGCCATATTAAGTGATATATTTTTGAAGGTAACAAGTTTGATAGAGAAGTGTTCAACATAATACAACTACAAAATATTAGACAGAAATAATAACTTTAAAACTTGGACAACGTAATGCAAAAAGGTGACAAATGAAAGTTTAGAAGAGGATATAAAATGTTCCATCCAAATTTGCCATCTTTCCGTTATTGTTCTAATGTGACTATCACTTCCTAAACCTTGGATTCTTTACTTTGTTCACATTAATAAACTATATAGATGTCATGTCACATTCACTGTCAGTACTCGGATCAAATGGTTGAAATGGTATATTTGTAGTGAATTCCCAAGTTAAAAACATTTAATTATAAATTTGGAAAACAAAATATCCGAAAATGTTTTTTTATTTCATTTGAAATTATTTATGGAATCTACAAAATCGGCAATTGTAATTCAGAATTTAGATAAAACATAAACAACTAGATATACATAAATATTGATCTCATTAAAAATTAGTTTAGCATAAAAGTATTCGTAAAATAAACAAATAAATATTCTTTAAATACAATCATTGTTGCTATGCATTTTCTTTTATTAAATCACCAATAAATTCAGGTGGAGGTTCATCCATTGAATGTTCAACTCTTTCAATTTTTCCAGTTGTTAATCGAATTAATTTATGTCTAAATAAAAAGTAGTTTGTACAATACATCATATTCGATTGTGAAATTTATGTGTCATGTAGGCAATAGTTTATAAGCTTATCAAATGTTTAATAAGTACACATTGAATTACGTTTATACAATAAACACAATATTTTATTTCATTTCATTTATCTATTGTAAATGGAATCATTCAATGAAAATAATTTTTTCCTTAAAGATTATTTATGGGGTTTATTTGAATATCAGTAACAAGTCATTAACTTTAGGAATGTTTATTAAATTCCATTATGTTTAGAAGATTAGAACGATATGAAAACTTTTAGTTATTTAGTTATAATATAGTGAATCTATTAAAGTACAAAAAAAACTGAGTTAGACTGGTTCGAGTTCCATGATGAGTAACAACTAGCATGAAATCTCGGTTCAAGGTGCCCTGCTAGCTATTTTCAATCAAATGACATCAAATGGAAAAAAAAGTTAAAATTTATAAAATTTAACGGTTTGGTTGGTTGGTTGGTTGGTAAAGTTTCAATTGATCCTAAAATGTTTTATTCATTTTTTATACATTAAAATTGATAGATTTGATGCATAATGATAATATGACACTTAAAATGTGAAACAATGATTTTCATGGGAGGTGTGTATTGGGTAAATGAGTAACTGCTTATTCTGTAATACATACAAACTAAATAGATGTTTTATGTCGTTAGAACACTATTTTTCAATGGAACACGTTTATTTTCTGCTATATTTTTTAAAACTTAAATAGTGTTTTTAGTGTAATATTATGGTGACTGACATCGCTATAATTAGTGTCATTTGGAAATGTGCTTATAATATTGAAAGTCTTAAAAGTGATACATTTGACATGAAACTTAACCGGAGCATTTTAAACTTTGTTTATACAAAAATTGTTGAATGATGTCAAGATCATCTTCTAAATATTGACAGAAATCTAAAGTAAATGATCAATTTATTCTCTTTTGCAAATGTCATGGACGAAAACATCATGCTGTCAATCAGTTGAGTCTGATTGTAATAATATCCAATTCCATCAAATATTCAGTCAGTATCTACATACTTTTGAAGGAAGGGAATTTTATCATAGAGAATTATCAACTACATAATCAGACATTTTAGTGACACTGCATCTTACATTAAATTAACCAAAAATGCTTTGATTTATTAACTGTAAAATGGTAATTATGAGACAAACATCTATAAAATAAACAATATTTTCTTAATCAAACATACTTTTTAATTGACTTGCAGTATAGTAGTCGAAGATGTTCAAGTTTTTTGCAACCTTTCCGTAAAAAACTTAAAGATGTTTCCCTACAAATGTATAAATGTTCATGTATTTGTTAAATAAAAGTTTCAGAAAACTGCTAACAGAAAGTTAATTGTTATGGTATTTATAATCTTTGGTTTGGTAAGATATAGTTTAAAATTACACAAAGTTATAAATAAGAAGAGCATAAGTAGTTACATCATTTTAAAATATTTATGAATTTTATTTCTTTGATCAATATTTAGAGGTAGAATTATTATTCTTCAAGGATACTGGCTATTGAAATAGGGTTTACAGTTAGAAATAAACTCCATTTCATTTATACATTAAGATGTATTTCTGAAAGCAAGTATATAATTAGTTTTGGGTAAAGGACATCTGTCAAGTTTTATATTCACTTTTCTCAGTACTAATGACTAAAATAGATGTTGCACAACACTTATTGGCCGGAAACCTTAGGTTGATATTTGTAGAGTCGTTGAATTATTTTCAAACAGAAAAAGAATTAAATGTTCGTTCTTTTGCTTAAGTCATCTCTATTCAAATCGAACTATGTATACAAAAAAATGTTAGGTTAACTCTTTTTATTTCTGTGACAATAGTTATGGAACACAAACAAATACTATTGTTATAACGCTCGGTTTTATTTCGTCTAATGTTATATCGGTTGAGTTTCCACTTTTACACTTATGGGAAGTTAATTCATCTTAGACGAATATCTACACTATATTCCCTCGCAGTATCTACTCTACAGGACTTCAACACAACTCAGACCAAGAACAAGTAATTAGCCTGACCAGAAGGTAAATATACTTCCACACCAAAATCTGACATAATCAAAAAACAATGAACAATCAATAATCAGGATAGGGGAATGTATAACTCATCTGACACCTGTCAGACTATCTACATGTCTAACTAAGCAGACAACCAATCATTATCATTTTCGCGCACACATCAACTATACAAGCTCGGTTTTCACTAGTTCACTATTTTAGACATGTGTTAAATAGGATAATAGATGGGTTAAATATATTTCAAAGAATAATAGAATTAGTACCGAAATAACACAGAAACATTTTCAAGACATATCTAACCACATATCTACCATTATAGCTATAAACATTCATATACTCTATGGACTACTTTTATCGACCAAATGAATGTTAAAAATCAATATGAAAAAAATTGTGAACTGTTTTCATAGTAAGTTGAAACTTTTCCAAGTTACTAATAAATACTTCAACAAAAAACAACTTTGCCAATAACAAAGAGATTTTTTATATATTTTTCATCCGTGAGTGCCAAATTATTATTTAAAAGCCTGTAAAATAACACTGACCACCATATGCCCTGGTACAGCCGAGAGTGGGGAGAGTCAGCTCTCCTTCTCGAAATGCTCTCACATGGCCACGTGCATACAACCACTAAGAGGGAAGTCCCACTCGCTGCCTTCTCGCGCAGGTGTGTTGTTTACCCTGATTCTAAACGAATGATGCACATAGCTCCAGGATCCTGAAGGTACAAATGGCGTATGAACTAATTGTTGGTCATCGACTACCATGTGACGGCATCTCTTGACGTTGCTCCACTGCCTTGTGGACCAGACCTTTAGGTTGAAGTCTCCGGGTGTGGCCCCCTAAGAAAACCGATTGCTTCGGTTTTGGCACCCAGGCATTATCCCAGCCCTCACACAAATCGAATGACTTATGTGGCGTATATCTATTTGGTGTCTCCTTGTACCAATGTTTATGTGCTTAAATAAATAAATAAAGTTATTAAGACGTCTGCTGTCTTATACATAACAAAAAGATGGAATTTATTAACCAAATCAGAAAACATAGTAAATTATCAAATTATTTAGCAACCTTGAAACTTAATTATGCCAAACTTTTATTGTGCTTAAAATTATCAAACATTATTTTAACCACATGTGTAAAAATATATCTTGCAGAGATGCATATATCAATATGTTTTAAACAAGTTGCTTTAAACTTACGTGATCAATTCACAACCTGACAAATCAAGAAACTTTAGATAATGACATACTCCCGAAATATACTGTACAGCCATATCTGTCAGCTTTAAGAGAGATATGGTGAAGGAAAAAGTGTAACAATGAACGAATGCTTACCAGCTTACACCCAGCTAAATTAATACTGGCAAGGAAATGACAACAAAATGCTAGTGTTTTAATTCCATTGTTTGTCAAATTCTAAAAGGTTTATAATAGTTACAATTTTAGAATATTATTTAAAACCAAACTTAATTTACGTGACAAAATGATAAGTCAATATATTCCAAGTTTATACCAAAATGTGCAAACTTTTGCAATCCTAAATCAGTAATGGCGGTACATTTAGACACTTTCAGTTCACGTAATTTAGGCAATGATCCAAGAGCCGACAAACCCTGTAAGAAAGTGAAAATAAGGTTGATTGATGAGAAATACTGAAAAACAAGGCTTTTATAATTAATACATAAAAGAAGTGTTCTAAACAGATTACTAAATATAGTTCACTAATACTAGCTATTTAATTAATACGAATTTTCGTGCTAAAATGGAACGAAACAAACTGATGATTTTATTTATTTATTATTTTTTAATAAATAAATAAAATTATCAGTTCGAAACGAACTGATGAAGAAATCAATCTAGTAGTCTACTTTGTATTTAAGTCACAATCTGTAGAGTATTGTGTCTACTCCATATCTTGAGTAATCGACGTGCTTTTTTTTAATAAAAATCAGCCAATTAGTTATACCATTTAAACAGACCACTACAGTTACTTCCTAAATAACGTAGAGGTAACCACGTTGATTTGGTTGATGAGAGACGGATTAGATTATCAAGAAGATAATATAATGTGCCGTCAATGTTTAATGATCTGACATATCGTGATTAAAGAAAAGTTAAAATTTCCGTCCAAGTCCAAACTTACTCGATCACCAAGTTTAGTAGAATTTAAATTTATCTGCCATAATTTTTGTAGTTGACCTAGGAGTTCGAAAGCTCCATCAGAAATCAAGGGGCACGATGCCAAACTCAAGTAAGCTAAATTAAGTAGTCTAAAATAAAAAAATCAAAGTTTATTTATGTGAAATACAAATTACATTAAAAATCCCACTTTATGTATTAAAAGACTGTAGTTAGACCTTATATTAATAAAACAAACATAAACAGTTATTAATGTAAGTAGCATCATTACTCACCGTGCACTCATTGTATGAATCGCCTTATCAGTTAATTTGTCACATCTTGCTAAATATAGTTCTTTTAAATTCTCCGCGTATGCTCCATCAGTTAGTAATTTTACACCTTGATCTGTAAGACTTTCACATCCACTTAACTTTAAAACAGTCAAATTCGGCAAAGGTATTAAATGTTGAAGCAGGATATCATTGATCTTGAAACAATAATGAATGAAAAAACCAAGTAAGTAGTATATAAATTTGTGCATATATACTTTCTACTTTCTACTCATAGAAAACAAGTGAAGATAATGAAACGTCTCAGTAGAACAGAAGTAAGAAGGAGAAATAACATTATAGCATGAAGGTTTATTCAAGATCTATGGAAAAAGTGTACATTCGAAACTAAGAAACTTCAGATGTTTCTAACGACTGACTAATAAGATTTTAAGGATTCGAATTTTACTGATTATAAATTTCGACATGATCGATATAAAACGTTAGCTATATCTCTTAAAGTATTGACATTTCAGATGACACTGAACGTGATGTTTCACTGTCAGACTTGCCTTGAACTTATGTACTGAAACTAAATCAGTGCATAGTTTGTGGTAACTAGTAATTCACTCATTCTTAGGCAACATTTGTTGCTTGAATTTTTTATTTTTGTTCACTATCGTAAACAGTTCATAGGGTCAGTTGATCTAAAGAGAGTATGAAAATTATATATACTAGCCGAGCATATTTCATCAGATGTAACTCACCTTTGGACAATCAACGAATGAAATTTCTAGTAAATTTAAGCTACCATTTTCAAGTAATCCAGAATTCAGTTTTGATAAACGATGAGCTTTACTTTTAGAATGTCTTCTTGATACATTATCATTTGGTACAATATTATTCAATCCAGATCCATCGATCGAACTCATATTTGAAACAAGGAGTCTATTTAAATTTTTTGCACATACTGATTGTAGACCACAATCCGTAATTAAACCATTCATATTTGAATTTGAATTATTTAGAGTTGAATCAGCATGTTTATGAACTAAACCAATACATGTGATTGGTCTATTTTGCTTATTTTTTATTTGTACAACACCATCGACTGGAGTTGATTTTTCATGGAAAAGACCAATTTTTGAACGATAATTTAGACCGGATATAATTACGTTTTGATTATTGACCATTTCTAACGTGTGTATTACTGAACAGTTGGATCCTAGAACCTTCAAAGGGAGGGGAATTAAATAGTCTAAATGCTTTGTGGTCGAATCACTATAATAGTATTATATATTGACTACTCTGTCAATCCGGTTTACTTTACATTCTGACACTAAATTCTTCATTTTCAGCCGACTCGTCATAATACTCTAGTTATTCTGTGTTTGTCCTTTTCCACACATAACCGTTTGTTTAAAAGATTTATGTATCAACCCATGGGAACTAATTTTTCATTGGTAGGAATTCTATTTCGGTGTACCATTTTCCTTTTTCTCTTGAACCAATCCAAAACGTAGTTCTACATGTTCAGCTGATAGAATATTATGAAATTAATAAAATCTGCAAATTTTAATCACATACCATTTTATGAATCTTTTTACAGTAATTATGTCATTCCACATGTCTACGTCGAAACATGTGGCTGTTAATGCTTTTTATAGAAATACGTGTTGGTTCTGGGTTTACCACTAAACAAGAGTTTGTCAAACAATTAACACTTTTTGGGGTTGAAACTTTATGCCATTCAGTTATTGGTGATGGCCATCGTAAAGAAAATGATTTTTACATTGAATACATATGCAAAATAAAAAGTCATCGAATGTGGCTAATCGTATCGTTATCAAGAGAGTATGCTTCTCCATACCCACCCCGTATCTAATGTCTAGGACAGGCATTTGAATATGAATATGAGTCCTTCGCTCATATTCTGAAGGGAGAGTGGTTGTTTACATGCATTAGATAATTAGTGAGTCATAACTTTGCGTTGCTGCGTGTTATTCACTAGAGAAGCCCTGAAAAGCAAACTAGGAACATTCACTCTTTAATATTGTCTGGAGATATAGCCTTTGTCGTAATTGTTGGAACGGCTTCGTAAAGCACAGAGAAGCCCTCAGAAGCCTTAAAGGAGCAGAAAAGAATCCATTCAGTCAGAACCTGCTATGGTCTTCTCAAATATCAACGTGGTATGCTACGATTGAACGCTGGCATAACTTGTCTCCTTGCGGGCTGATTGAATTATAATGATGTTATAGCTAATACTAATAACTATAAATACCCATGTTCTTCTGCGCATTTTGGGTTCTTACCCAATAATCACTTTCCTTGCTTCTCCCGTCTTCTGATTTATGACTGTGGGGTTCGATACATTCGAGTGACGTTGGTTGCATATCGTATACTCCCGTTATCAAGTAGGAGACATAACAGTAACCAACTTTGACATATAAGTCCAACAAATCTCGGACACTTTTATCATATTTACTTACTTAAGCCTTTTGTACAGCTCAAATACGTTTAGTTAATACACTTTGTTCTGCAAGCTAAAATTATAATAAAATTATCAAGCAGAAACTTGATGATCCAAATAGTGAAATGTCCTGAAGAAATAATACAGGGTTGATTATTTATACTTACATTAAGATCGGTATCTGAAATCCATGGGATATCGTTCAGTATCCAATGTTCCACTTGTGTCACACTTTTTATAATTGTTTGTAAACCAGCCGACTCAATCTGAAGTTATTAGGTTCAAATAAAAAAATCATTCTCATTTTGAGTAGTATTTACATATTTATAAACGATATGAATTACGGTACAAAATATTACGATTTGTTTTCATTGACTACCATTAAGAAAATTTTCCAAATACACACCTTGAATAATTACCAACAAAATACTTAGAATTTGATTTCATATTCGTACAAAGTGTACCGGTTCACTATTCCGTTAAATATTATATTAGTGCACATAAAGAATCAAACAGTATCTGATTTGGAACAAATATAATGAAGTGGAACATACTAAGCAAATTTTAATATTCACTTTCCTTTTCATTTTGAACATTTTATTAACAAAAAAAGTAAGTCAGAATAAGTGTTAATCAAAATAATTGCAAAGAAATGATACAATAAAGAAAGAATGTTACACACCAGAACCTTATTTTCAAAGAATTTCAATAGTAAATTTATATAGTAATTGTTCTCAACCATCTGTCATAAGTTTTGATCATCTTAAGAAGTAACACAGACAAATAATATTGAATTCCATTATGAAAAACCTGTGACGTTGATGATAAAAATAGTACATGGACCTGTTAAAGGTTTCGGATGCAAGATTGAAATTTATGATTTGTTATAGTGTAACATAAGAATTATTGATACCCTACTAACTTGTTAATAAAGAAAACATCTTGTAAATGACCCGGAAATTTATGACTAAAATACAGTTATTAATAGAAGATAATTTATGTTTTACAGTTTAAAAGATTAGTTATTTTGTACATTTCATATGTTAGCTGATAAATCTAAACAATCAACAAACAAAATATCATCCAGACAATGACGATCAGCATGGACCACTATTCGACTGCATGGCTAAAATATTAAAAAGATTTTTATATCTGTACAGCTAAAAAACTGAAACAGATAAAGTAGGACCACAGATAAAGGAAATTTGGCTTTTTTAACATGTATCAATATATAAGAGAATACATAAGTAGATTTATAAAATATAGAATTCACTGATAAATCATGTTTCTAAGTGTTTCATAGACCATCATTGACTGTATTCAAAATACGATGTGACTATAATTTATGGACGACCTTTGAGTTGTACTAAACTGAACTTGAGAGTGTTTACCTAATAACTAAGACTAATTGAGGGTTATAAACAAGTATGAGGAATTAGAATTAGGATTTACATTTGATGGTTAAGGTTAAGAATTAGATTCATGGTTTTCATCACGAACTGCCAAAACTCTATTTAGGCAAATGGATGAGTGAATTTCGCGCCAAAACCCGTGACCTGTTATCTTATACTTGATTGGTTCGTCCATAAATTATAGTCTCGCACAAAATACAATAATATGAATGTTATAAACGTGAATTCCTTACTTGATTAAGGAAATGCTTTCCGAAATATATCCTATAACGTTAGTTTAAATAGTTATTCTGAATTTTTCAATATATTTCAAAATTTTCTGTCATAATATCAATTAAAAGTTTTGAAGTAGAGGAACTGTACTCTCATATATAAACATAAACATGTATGCTCAACGCTATCTAGTTTGAATGTCGCCTGAAAAAACATTAAGTAACACGTCTTAGAATCAATCAAATTGTGACTAAAGTATTCATTTTACATATTAATTTAAAACACAATATGCAGACATCTTATTCTTTTATCTTGAGTTATATATTTCCAATTTTACTATTCTTTTACTACCTCTACCACTACGGGATTTGAATCGACAACTACATCTCTGTGTTAATGTGGTATAGCAACTCGAACTGATATACGTACGTACGAAGTTCTACGTTGTTACTGACTGAATTTTGACTATCACTGGAACTATTATAATTTTAAATTCTTTGTTTTTCATCTGATTAATTTTTAGTGTTTAAAAGCAAAAATAGTGAATTGAACCGTCTTACACTCTTGCTTGATTAAATGCTATTTATAATTATAACTATTTCAAAACTATCATCTATGCAAAGAAAAAGAAATCTTAAATTGATATATGTAAAAAAATAGAAATTCTTACGTAAATACATCCCGATAAATCCAAATAAATTAGTGACTTGAAACTTTCTAGTTGATTGAAATAAGTTGAGCAAAGTTGTGTTAATCGTGTACAATAGGCCAAACTCAGATATTGTAACATTTTTGTATTGCTTAATTAAAAAAAGTATTTTCATAATGTTGTACATTTAATGTGAAAAAACAAAGTTAAATAACATGGTTATATTTATTACAGAACAAATATTGAAAGTATACTGTATTTAAATGTTTTAATAGAAGAATAATCATAATTTAATTTATTTAATTTTATATCAGATAGATTAAACGTTTATTTACAAGTATGTATCCGTGCAACAATGTGTTTGTCAACATATCAAAATCTATGAAATACATTGTTTAAATATGTTAGGTCTCGGTAAACATAATGAATGGTAACTTTGGAATCCGTTTATGGACCAATACTAACGTATATTTTTATCGTATAATTGTTAATTAACTAAACTATTCATATTCATATCCCTCTTATTATAAGCTTTATTTTGGCCTACGAACCATTATTATACGCTTTACCATTCTTGAATTATGCCCTGTCTATTCGTCATGCCTCCCACATTTACAGCCACATTTGACCAAATTTTGTACAAATGTTATTTTATATTTTATGGTACGTTGTTGTCTGTTTGATTGGTATGTAAACCCCATATGTCTAAAATAAGTGATTCATATCTCAGAGGCTCAGATTGGTGTTCCGGACTTAACTGGTTGAGCTAGACAGGAAGCGAGACCAATAATGACTCTAGGCTGCTCGCAAGTGTTTTACGCGCCATTGGTCCGATCGATAATTCACTATTCTCTAATCGGCGGTCACAAGATATAACGAAATACAATCTAGATTATAGCTAATTATATAGTCTGAAATATAAGATAACATGTAGAAATCTTTATTAAAATAAGAGTAATTACAATGTCATTTAGAGAAATGTTAATTAACAGATTGATGGGAATCATTAAGTTCCTTAAAATACAAAAACGACTTCTGTTTATCTTTAAGTTATCAGTTCAGAAACAATCCAAATCACATATTGATATTTTCAACAAGCTTTTTTAGTTTAATAACTTATATATTTAACGAAGAACAAAACCTCAAAAGTTTTAATAACACGATTTTACAAGCTAGAAAACAAGAATTTTTGCATAGATTTAATCGTTAAGAAAAAAAGTGAGAATGTCATTTTGCAACTAATAAATATAAGAATAATAAGTTTGTAGAAAGAATAAAATAGCAAAAGTTATCAGAGTCGTTAACATAAAGATCAAGATTTTAACAAGAGTAATCATAAACTGAGACAAATTGGTGAATGAACTCAAAAAGAAATTATGTCAGCTTTAGCATCATAAAATATAAAATTAATCATTTTAGTTATTTGTTAAACTAAGAGCTTAATGTTATTTTCACTAAGTCAGTTATAATTTTCATTTACTTGGTTTTAGACTAAATAAAAATCATGAGAATTAATAAGAAATCTTAATTTCAATAGTTGAGTTCATAAGTCAATTAAAGCTACACTACCATGAAAAACCTGGTAGCACTGGATGACAGTTTTGCCCTATTGTGGTCTCCTCAGCAGTGCGCATCCACAATCCCGCCTCGCGAGATTCGAACCCGGGACCCCTAATCTCAACTGTTGAAATCACTACAATCTCCATAAAACCCATTCTGATACTAATCAACCTATGCCCACTAGTGACTGGCTTCAAGAGGTATATCCTGGAGTTCTAATGAGAAGCAGTGACCACTGGAATTCAACGGAGTTTGTTGTGAGATAGTAACTCACTGAAGATAATGGTGAATGTGTTGCTCGATTTCGTGGATTGGTTGAAGTCAGATATTTACACCGCTGGATGCCGGCTCAGTGGTCTAGTGGTTGAGCGTTCGCGCGCGGGAATGACAGGTTCTGGGTTCGAATCCTGCGAGGCGGGATCGTGGATGCACACTGCTGAGGAGTTCCACAGTGTGGCGAAACAGTCATTCTGTGCTTCCAGGTTTTCCATGGTGGTGTAGCTTCAATTGACTTATGACCTCAACTACTAAAATTGCTGCAATCTCCACAAAGCCCCTTCTGATATGAATGTTTAAATTTAGCAATGGATATTTGAAAATTTTATGCTTTTTGCTGCTTGGTGTTGTATGCGAATAAAATATCGAGGTTCAAACTTTAGTTTTCATTCAAATTTATCTTGATTTGATGAGGACTATATGTCTAAATATATACAAATATTAAAACACATTGTTATCTTTATTTGATTCGAAACACAATTATAAGTTTGAAGTAAAATTATATACTCACATCGCTAAGTGACGAACTGAATCATCAGTAATTTGAGTATATGATAAATTCAAGTAAAGAAGTAAACTACATTCAACAGTTATTAGACGAACTGCATCATCCTAAAGAGAACAAAATCAAAACAAAAATACTATATTCAAGATATCGAAAACATACATCGTTTTATATTTTAAGAAAATGAATGATATTCTTAATATTTTGTCATTTTACTTATAATTATGTAAACAACTTTTGTTCACGATCTATAAACAGTAAAATAATCATGCTGTATATCAGAAAAGGAGGGAAAAACTGATCACACTGTTCAACTGTAAAGACAATTTAATTTGTACCTTAAGACATGTGGTTCAACATATTATGTTGGGATTCAAAAACAATAAAAAGTTTATATATATATATATATATATATATATATATATATACTTTTTATCTTACTTAATTCAATGATTACTGACTTGTAGACTAATAATCCGTAAATAAACATTTAAGTTTAAAGTCAAAAGAATGGATTTGGGACTTTGAAACTACTATATCTTCTAATGAGGCATTCTATATTTGTTAAATAATGGAATTCCACAAAAGAGATAAAAAAGTAGATTATTAATTTGTTAGTACATTGATGTACATATTATTTCACCAGTTAACAAAATAAAAATTGACTGCAATTAACAATATTTAAAATTGTCACACTTATCTTTTAAACAAAAAAAACAAAGCTAACAAGATCAACATTAAAATAGTAGTATCGTTGATAATCAAAAAATAAACAGAAGTGAATTAAAAAATTGAGGTAAGTTTAATAATATTGAAATGAACAGTTTAGAGAAAGATATAAAGTGAATGGGTCGAGTTAAACTGTGTTATTTGAGTTACTTCTCCAATTTTTTAATCATGACTATCATGTGAACAATTAGCAGTATTTACACTTCTCCAGGCATTATACTAACCAATGTTTGTATGAACACTATTTAGCGTGCTTTATAACTACTTGTAGGCTGATCAGATTTCAATATTACGTTTTTATTATTTAAAATTTTATCATATACGGAGTTGAATATAAACTATATTTTTTAACTGTAATCGAATTAATACAGAACCATAAAATAAACCTATCAATAGTTTTACAGGATAACAGAACTACACTTGAAAAAAATATTTCGAGCATTACTTCTATAACAAAACATGTTTTAAGCTTGACATACGCAATCAATACACTGATATAAAAAGAATATTAAAAGCTTATTCAAATTTCAAAGTTATACTACCGTTATCATAAGGTCATCACACACTTCATACTTTTGTTTAAAGCGATCAAGGGCGCCCATTGTTATTGATAAATTTAAACTAGCAATGAATAGCTTACTTATGCTTACCGTGATACCAGTGCATTTAGATAAATTGATATCCTGTAAATTAGCGCAACTAGTTAAACAACGAAATGAATTTATAGTACACAGATTACTACTACGTAAGTTGATATGACGCAAATGTATTCGACGTCTTCTTGTAAGCTTTAAAAAAAGTTCTTCTGTTAACCTATCAAAAAGGAGAAAGAAGAATATGTCAGTGTATTACAGTAACTTAATGAATGAATAAACTTTTAGTAATATATTTTAAATATCAGGCATTTTCAAGTATGACTGGGACTTGGTGAGTCAATTAAATATATGAGATTTACTTATGGTCAGTAAATAATAATTATATATATAACATATTAAAATCATGATGTTGAAGTAACATTTTGGCAACTGTAGGTTTTAAAATATTTTGTACTTCAATTTAATTAACAAATCGTAGCTATCAATATAGTGGAACCATTTTTTTGTGCAAGTTAGCCTCAATTATTGGTCTCTATCGTTTATTAAAAATACATTGTGAATTACATTTATTATATTCAAACAAAATATATTGTTTATATTCGCTAAATGTGTGAATGGCATTTATGAATTTAAAAATATTCACTGGGAAAAATGATGTGCAAGTGTTTGAAAATATTATAAACCATACCCAAACCTAAATATAATGAGTTCGTGTTCATGTAGGCTTGTATGTGCACACTATTGAAGAAGTCACAATTTCAGCAAGAACAGTTTTCCAATTCTCTGTGATTTTCAACTGTTCTGTCACCAATAATTTTTTACTGTGAAGATAACCTAACTTTTTAAACGGTGAATTTAATTCAATAATATCTAATAACATAGAACCATAAAATTAATGATTAACTAAATTTTTATTAATACAATCATTATAGTGTGATTTAAAATACATACGTAATAGTTGACATAATAAGTTTACCTTTTACCAAAGCACGATAAATCCAAAGTATTTTTCTTATCCATTTCACTAACTACAGACCACCAATAATGAGATACACAAGCAGCTCGAGCTAAATCTATGGGTGTTAAGTACCCAAATATCTAAACAAAAAAGGCAAGGAAGAAATGAAATCTAATGAGTAAACTTATAAAATTCAAAAGTCAAAAATAAAGTCAAATATTGTGAAGACAAAACTATACTAAGCTTTCTTATCGACATTTGGTGTAATTTACTTTATTCACAAGTCAACAAATCTTAAAGCATTGATTACACACAGAAAGAGAAATCTAATTTTCAAATGAATGAAACAGAAATTCACTTTTCAAATATTTCATACATTTAATGATAAGATTTTTTCATGAGTCTTCAGTCAAGTAATTTTCAGAGATAAAGTCTGAATCAAAGTTCGAAATTGAATCTTGAGGATGTTCTTAAACATACACCCATGTAAGTTCAAAATTAGAACAAAATATTATATCAGTAAATAATAAATTACGTAATTTCCTCAATACTTCAGCGTATTTTTGAATTCGCTCAGTGATCTGATAATTATGATAATACAAAATCTTATCACTTTCTCATGATTAAGAGAGAAAAGATTACAGTAGTTTGATGGAACGAGATACAAATAAAATTTATAGATTTTTAAAATGTTGAAAACATTACGTTTACATTATTTATTAGAGTTTTACATTCAAAACTATAGTTATAAGAGGTTGAACAATATCCATTACAAGGTTCAAGTTTTAAATTCTCAATAGATGAAATTGTCCCCATAAAGCTTAAAGTACTCAAGTCTCTACTTTAGTGCACATTACCATGTTGATTACATTTGGCGAAATAGTAGTAAGAATTAATTATATATTTTTTTGTTCTTCAAATGAGAAAATGTTTACAACTAACAACCCAATATTTGATGTATTTTAATTTTTTAGAAAATGATTGGTAACACACTTCTTTAACAAACATTGTAGTTTGCAATTTATTATTGAAAATAAAAATGAAATGATAGGAATTTCAATGAAGTAAACCTTAATTCTATCATGCGATTGGGGTCGATTGGTTGTTTATGTATTACATCTGACCGTAGAAGTACTATTTACTTTTGTATGAATATATGACTTCAAATAATAGAAACATCTATGAACACTTCATTATTTGTTGTCTCTTACTGAATTACTAAAAATTACTTCAACATTTAAATACGAACTATATTTGAAGAATATCTGCAAGCTTCGAAAAAAAGTTACCAGGAAAGTTGAGTGGATAAAGATTAGACAGTAATTTTCATCGAATCATTTTAATTTACTATAAGTTTAATTTTACACTATTCAAGTTGAGTTAAGATAGTGCACTCAATGTGAATCGGAACAATAATCCAGGTTGAAGAGTTGTGGTTAGATATATAGATAAACATACTGACAATGAAACTAATTTAATTTAGGCCGAAATGTTTTCATATTATAATATTCCACATAATTTAAATCCATTATACAGGAATGGCTAAACATACTTTATATTGTATGGTGTCAGGTAATTCAGATAATCGGTCACGATAATTTTCAGCATCGCTTATTTTACCACCTAAAGTAAGTAATTGATTTTCAGACTCTGAATCATCTGACTTTTCACCATCTGACTTTTCTTGCATTTTCTGCAGTTAGAAAAGAAAAAGCTCGTAAAGTCATTAGAAATGAACAAATAGGAAAACATTAACATGTTTGGACATTAAGAGGTTGTAGTTATTTCATTTTTCAGAAATATTTTAGTGCCATTTTAGATTAAACTGTCTCGACTTTGTTAGTCTGTCACTTTAGATGTTTGGCGTGATACAGGATGCTTTATATCTAAGTAATTCATTTGTCGGTGTAAATACTTAGCTTCGCAGTCGAATAAAACAAAATGTTTTGAAGGAAATGTTAACATTCCCTGTGTAACAGTATCTTTGTTTATGCTGATAACTCGGTGTATTTTGTGATAGTGTAATACAGACATTATATAATTCAAACTTCTACAGAATACTATGAATATTTTCAATTGATTGCTAGGTTTGTTGACTTAAATTTAATTAGCGAATAATGGGAAATATAGTTTGAGCAATACAACTGATTCTTCTACAAACAATCAATTAACAAAAACATTTACAGATAATTTGATAATGTTGTGGATACCACAATATCCGTTCATAATTCTTTTTTAGTACTAAGATTTATCCGCAATCTGTTTGGCCATTTTTCACCGAAATGTGTAGGTGTCTGGATTTATTTAATTTAAAATACGCTATGGTTAGAGATAGGGAATAATGTAACATTGAAACATTTTACCCCAATGTAATGTTAGTTTTAATTAGATGATAATATATTCTTATTGAAGAAACTAAATACGGTTATAACAATATCTGCCATTGCTAAATTCTTGGATCAAACCTATTATAATATCTATTACTTAATCATAGATTTATGGTATTGTTATAAGTACGTAAAACCAATATCGTCAACCAGTCTTACAAATGAAGGTCATCTGCTTGTACCAATAAAGATAATCAATTGTGTTTTTACAAATGTTAACTACATGCATTAACTTACTGAAAAGTAATCCCTTGTTTTCCGAGCTTCTGCAACATTCCGACGCCAGGCTTTAAAATATAACATTGTCACTGTGAAGTCTTTAATTTGTGTTATTAATGATTGTGCCACTGAATGATGTAGAGAAAAAAGAATGATATTTTACCGTAATTATGTAACACCGTGAATTTTTTTCTTAATTTAACTGGTAATTTGTCAGATAAATGAGAGTAGTGGAATTTCGCAGAAATTCAAAGTTAATTTATCACTAGAATCTTACTATTAATCTTTTTTATTTTTTAGTTAATTATCTTAATTTTATCAATATCTTTCCCTAACATCAATAGGCTCTATTTAAACATTATTATTATTAATAATCCATATATGTTTCTGTAGTCCAAATTATTGATCAAAAGAGAAAGTTAAGTTCCAGTCAAATTCAAAATATGAATTTACCTTTCTTATTAAAATAAAATAAATCTCATCTATAAGTATAGAAGTAAGTAGTATGCTATGCTCTTATTAATAAAGTTAAAGGTTAAATTAAATTGTTAGATTCATAATCAAAATAAATATGATCATTGTTGATTGACAGAAATAATAATGTACTGCGTAATAATAATAAATTTCCAATCAGACATTGTGTAGTATATGAGAAGATATGAATTCAAGCCGATAACATTAGGAATACAATCAGTAATAAATAAACAGTTAAAATGGAAAATTAAATTATCTTAATTTTGGAAAATAATGGATTAAGATAGAAATGATGAGGTAATACATAATTTAATTACTTACTTCTTTGTTTACTTATCACAAATTGTGTATATTCTTGCCATCCTCGAAATATAATCTTTTGCAATCTACATTTCATACTTATTTTTGCAATAAAGTTTATTTTGTACATATAATTCATTCGTGCTCGTTTGATTATAAAATGTAATTTCCAGGCGCTTAAAAAAACCGAAGAATTGTGAAAAAACAACAAAAAGTCTTGAATTTATTATGAGTGAATCTAGAATAATAACGGTTGAAATTGACATAAGATAAAGCAATTGTCTTAGTGCCCCTTGGTTTTCAATGTATCTCTGAATCATAGTATCACTTATTACACCACTAAGTAGTCAGTTTTTTTCTGCTCATTAAAATCGCCATTTTAACCTGGTCATGTATTTAATGACCTTCATATGTGCTCTGTTATCCCTGATCATGTCAAGTATATTCATGGGCGTTATACGTATGTATGTGTCTGTCAACTAAACTCTGATTGGTTTTTTATAATTTACGTATTATTTATTTCATATAAAGACTGTCATCTAATATTCACTGACGTGGTTATTTCTTTCCTTTTTATTCACACCTACTTTTCTTGATCTGTTTTCTAAGTTAAATATTTGAAAGATATGCTTAACAAACCCTATTGTTTTGACTTTTGATATCCTGTTGTTCTAAACCTGTTAAGCTGACAGAGTACATATGAACTTAAACAGAATTTAAGTTTCATTCCTATCACCATCATTTAATCAAACTGAAGACAGAGTCGGATTCAGCAAACCAAACTCAGTCTATGATGTAAATCGTAAGGTGAATGAACGCCACAAATCTCATGAATGATGATCCGATGTACGGTTTTCTTTTGTAATAAATCTTGGTTGTTCATGTTTAGGAGTATGCTCAAACTATAAGATTCTTCAAATTACTAAGTAATAAATAAACATTAGTGAAATTAGTAACTTCTGAATATTAAATCCATCACTTATTCACTTACATATGGTTAGATTGACTGTATGAAAATTATAGAACTGGTTAAATTAATATACGATCATGTTAGTATTTTATTGGTTATTACAGTCAGAGAATCGAAAATCATTTTTAGAATTTAAAAAATCACAAGGTTCCAAAGTATTAATAACATAAATTTTCATTTGTTACATAAAATATATGACATAAGGTGACAATCTATATTCAAAATGTCCCGGAGATAGATGTCAACCCACAGGAAGTTTTATTTCAGATTCCTAAACTGTATTTTTTGAAAATGAAAATTTTTATGTGCACTGAAATACTGCGGTTAGCTTATAAACATATTTGATGCATTTTATTGGATATATTACCATTGCATTATTTATAGAGAAATTCAAATTCGAAAATAATAGAGTATAATTTCAACCATTTTACAAAGAAACCATACATTATTCAAAATAGGTCATAAACTAAGTTGGATACTCTCTGAACTTTGTGGTACATAGGGCTCATACGTTAAGTTTACTGATCGAACGACACTCATGTGAAAAATTCGGGTTTTTTCAGTAGGGTAGGACTAACTGATAATCTTTACTAACTAATCAATAACCTTTCTTTTTACGAATATATGTATTTATGTGGTCTAATGGAAAGTGATTGCATTTTCATATCAATTTTGAAAAGGATTTTAGTGGTTTTACATAATAGTAGCATAAATATCGTGTAACATGAATAAATTCTAAAAACGGGAGTTTTTTGAAATACTTTTTTATCATAGACTAGGAACAATCATTAAAATCTATGAAGAACTAGATTTTGTCTGTTTTAGGTCAGAACTCTTAGGCCATACGTGCGTTAAACAATAGATAACGAAAGACGGAGAGCCCTCAGTTATTGTGGTGAGCAAAGGAATTTTAAACAACTGAGTTGGCACTTAATGGTTTACTTTTCTAAATTTAATCAATTGGCAGGCTGCGTAATAGTTGTTGGGTGTTATATATGTTATACGTTTAACTTCCGATATTATTGTACTGCATAAGTCATAGCTTCTAATTAAAATCTTACAATATCATCTTCATCCATCCACGGCGGTATTCAATAGCCCTCCAACTACAATCATTCTTTGCATAAGATTGACTTCAGGTAATTAGATTCCAGCCTTTTATTACAACTGATTACAGAAAGATACTAAGAATAACGTTAATCGATTACAGAGAGTCGTAGACATGTGAACTGTTACATAACCCGATATAAAAAACTTGTTGAATGATAATCATCAAGTTGTACGTGTGTATTCTTCCTACATCACTGAAAACATTTATTTCGAACAAAATATCTCTTACAGTAAGTTAACAGTTATAAATATAGTGTGTTATTCTAACGTATTAACATAATAAATTGTGATCAAAAAACCAACTAAATGGTTTCATGTATTTCATTATGAGGGATGTTTTATGGAACTGAGAAAGTGTGTAATTATTCTGTAAGTTCTATTTAGGAAGATTTGAGACAAGTATTGAAAGACTGGAAAGGACACATCATCAAGATATTGGTGAAAAGGGAGCTCGGCAAGTGTGTAAACTACGGAGGAATCCCACTACTGTTAATACCATGAAAAACGCTTAAACGAAGTAATGTTACATCAAATGAAAGATCGAGTAAACTCTCAGCTTCGAGATCATCTGTCCGGATTTCGTAAGGATCGGTCGTTCACAGACCAAACCGTGACACTACGGATCATCGTTGAGTAACTAATTGAATAAAAATCATCACAATACATCAACTCCCTTGACTATGAGAAAGTGTTTGATAACGTGAATAGGAGAACTTTATGGAAACCTCTTCGACACCATGGTGTGCGGCTGAGAAAATCGTCAACATCATAGGGAACTCATACGACGGACTACGCTGCAAAGCTGTGAATGGTGGTCAGCTCACAGATTCATTCCAAGTGGAGATCAGTGTCAGATAAGACTGTTCACTTTCTCTTTTCTTCCTTCTTCTGATGGTGGACTGGATTACGAAGACATCCAAATAGGAGGGAAAGCACGGAATATAATGGATAACTTGGATGCAGCTAGACTATTTGAACTTCGTAGACGACCTAGCTCGTCCATCCCATACACATGAATGCAGATGAAGACAGTCAGTGTAGCGGCAGCCTTAGCATCAATAAGCCTAAACATACAAAAGGGAAGAGGAAAGATCCTGAAATTCAATACAGAGAACAACCAAATCACACTTGATTAAGAATCTCTGAAAGAGATGAAAAGTTTTACGTATCTGAAGAACATATGGAACTTAAAACAACTGTTGACAAATATCAAAGTCATAATCTCCAATGCGAACGTCAGGATAGTTCTACTGTATGAAGTTGGAATTTGCACAACTACTGCAACCATCATTAAAATGTACGGGTATTTATCAACAATTGTGTACACAAGATACTCAATATCCGTTGACCAGAAACTATCAACTACAGCCTAGTGTTGGAGAAAATAAATCAGCATCCAATTGAAGAGGAAATTAAGGAAAGGCGCTGGAGATGGATAAAACATACATTATGGAAATTATCAAACTGCATCACGAGACATGCGCTAACTTAGAATCCTAAAGCGAAACAGAATAGAGGAATGCCAAATAACATACTGCATCAGGAAATGAAAACAGATATGAAAAAGAAGAATAGCAAATCGAAAGGATTGTTCATAAGAGAGTTCGAGAGGAAATCATGTTTGGTGGCCCATGCTTTCCCACGAGAGGTAACAGGCGTAAGTAAATATGTAATTATCTGTGTAACTAACATATATTTTAAAGTAAAACCTAAAACACAGTTGAATGATAATCAAGAACTCTGAGTGATAGAATCCGTCAGAATAATAAACCGATAGAAAAAAAACTTAAATAATTTTGTAAAAAGTTCATAGAAGTATCACAGTGTGTTATATTTAAGATTATGGTAACTAAAAAATGTTTAACAAGTTCGTTTGGATACATAAATATGGTATTATATAATAACTAATTAAGCCCTGTTGATAGATTTGCTTGAATTTTATTACAAGTTATATTGATTAAAACTATGTAGTTACTTTTCATTACAATTCACTATGTTAATATTCTAATAGGTAAATTAATATGATTATAAAAATGTATAAAATAACATGTAGGAGCTGATTGGGTCAATGAATCAAATAATTCATAATATGATGAATGTACTCAAATAAATTACAATGATTAATAAGTATGGCAAAAATAATATTTTTTGTAAACATTATATTGCTATTATATGTGAAGATTATATTTGCAATAATCTCAGCGACTGAAATTGAAATAATTCCAACGTTTCGTCCAACTAACTAGTCTGAACTTCTTCAGGGTAATGATCAAAATCAAATATAACTTTCACATATACTGACTTCTCTATACTCGGCGCCCAATTCCTGTCAAACTAGTCGTTCTAATCTTGACGAGTATTCGTAGAAATTATATTGTTATATTGTGGATGATCAAGATAAGGTTTTTGAAGTGAATTTATTAACTTACTATCAGTCTATTGTCCAGTATTTAGAAATATGCATGTTATTTATTTTCTACATTCACGAGATATCTAAATTACTGGTTGATTTAACTTGAATAAAGTGATTTAGATCATACGGATCAGATGATGAAAAAGTATTATAAATTGGGTTATTTCTTTTCAGAGATTTGAAGTATTGAATAATTGCTTTTGTTACTGAACTTTTTAACTGTATGATTCACATCATGTTGAAAATAAGTACTTATGAAAATAATGATATGATTTAAACATAATAACTAACCTGAAACACTTTTTTAGTATGGATTGCTTATGAGCAGCATAGGCTTTTGCTAACATTTCAGGTGTAGGCTTACATTAAATAGAAAAATTCAAAGTATAGTATGTTTAGTTATATGTATTTATATCACATGCTATTTTTAGACAAATTATAAAGTATACTATCTTTCACACTTTTATCGTTCAAAGTAATACGCTACCTACCACATCTATTTTGTATATATTCAGGTTAACAAAATTTATTTCATTCTACCTATTTTCACTGTAAATTTATTTTACTTTAGTTATACCAATCACCATGAAAATGTTTATAAGTGTAAATTAGTAGTGAGTTTTCAAGAAACAAGACGGTATTGGTATTTATGTGATCACAGTCTAGTGATCTGAATTGTAATGTACAAGATAAATATACATTTGAGGACGTGTTTTCTTAGAATATTAATCGTAAAAGTGATACAACATAAGATTAGGCACATATTTTCTAAGTAGAGGTCATCTAAAGAGCAGAAATTGCCATCATCAAAACATATAAGAATAAAATGTATGATATATTTTCATCAAGAAGTTGAATATTCATGTACTAGGGCAAACTCTTATGGATCTGGGTTAAACAAATTCAAAATTGCGTTTCACTATCACTTGAGACTAAATGATGTCAACCTTTAGAGTTATTTAAAATAACTAAATAACTTATTTGAATTCAGCAAGTGTATATGTTCCACATTTTATAAGGTAAACTTGATGACTAACGAATCAAGTATATGTAAAATTCTTCTTTCGAAAAACAGTATTTCAACAAATACAAAACTTACTTGATATTGTAATTCTTCTGGTAACAACTTATTAAACAAACATAATAAAAAGAGTAAATATGCAGTATATGAGATAAAAAGTCTAACAAAAAAGATTTCCAAACTATTTCAATTCTTTTAATATAATGAATTTTCAAAAATATATTTATCTACATTCAGTACTATCAACTGAGTTGTACTAAAGTTTGTTATTATCTCTGGTCTTTTATACCAATACTACGAATAAACGTACCATGATTTACTCGCCTTCATAAAGCAAACATTCGAAAAAGCAACAATGTAGTGCCGACCTGTGCGTTGATAATCATTACTCAATATAATACAACTATATAAACCCTAGTATATACTAACTTTAAAAGAATGCTGTAAAATGTTAAAGGAAGAGTAACTTGATTTGCCATATTTATATATATATATATATATAGTCGGTCTTGAGTCTTGTTAGAGGTATGAGGGCGGTTATCACTTCCCGGTTGCCCACACCGTGGAAGGGTCCTGCTGGAGGTACCTGAAAAGGAAATTGGATTAGAGGTGGCCATAGTGACCTGAGAGCGTGACCGCACTGCCCAAGGGACAGCTGCTTGAGGTCGGCCACACACGACCTTTTTATGAGTAATTTTTGTGTTAGCTCCGTACTTGTTGAGACCTTACCGCCGGAGACGGATATCCGTGGGATAAGGCGAGGTGTGCATTTTTAGGGTCGACCTTTTCTAACCCCAGCCCTCCTTGTGGGAAGGCAGCATCGCTGTTATGCTGGTTGTCTGAAGGAAACACCTTACTGTCGTCACACCTCTGTACAGTCAGCAGTACGACTTCGCCTTCGGACCTTGGTTTTGTTGCTTTTAGTCTTACCGCTCTTCAACCGACCTGTCTGGCATGGTAGGACCTTGAGGAACGGTTGTTCCAGCCAGTATAGCTCAATTACTTCATCACTATGGGCAAGCCCTACCACCACGTCAAGGTAGCAACAACGGTCGATTATAAAACAAATTACTTCATTCCTTTTAATTGTTGATTGTTTACAGTTTTGAGTTTTAATAGTTGTGTTTCATTTGAACTTAGAACTGATATTGACTCTGTTGCCGTGTGAACAGTATGTTCATTCATTTGCAAGGTCGTACATGTACACTGCTGAAGAGTTTTAAAATGAAGCGGAATGGATGTCCATTGTTTCTTCAAATAATATCAATTGATGATAACGGTCATCGTTAAAATAAAGAGGTGTATTTTTAAATATAAAGTTAATAAATTGAGGATTCAGTAGAACTTACGAATTCTAATTTTGATGTACCAAATAGGGAATGCATTAATTCATGATCAACATACGGATGAGAAGGTTTCATATCCGGATCAATAAATGTATCCCTTAATATTAAAGTTTAAAACGGGAGAAATATAATACGAAATGGTTGAAAATGTACGCGACAATGTCACATGTTTATAAATAAGTCTAATCAAATGCTCACCTTAATATATTTTCTCACCTGTAACTAATTTTGACCCATAACCTCTATATCTATTTCATTAGAACAACAATTTGATGTAAGTAATCACTGAGTACACCTATTACATCCCAAAGTTGACGAAGGTTCAAAGTGCAAGCAAGTGATTTACTAGCATTACTTATTACTATAGACCTACGCTATTTATTACTCATTCAACTGTTAATGATAAATATAGCTTTGTGATATCCCAATTACTAGAAAATTGTATTTTCGACAAAAATATATTTATTATTAACATTCTGCCTAACGCTTAATTTATTTGGAACTATCAAGTCCAACCATGGTATTGATACCTACCAACTCATTCAACTGTTGTCAATATTATTAACTTACTTAACAGTAAATAATTAAAACAGTAAATATTCAATTTAAACTGAGAAAATCTACAAAGCTTTTAAGAGTAATAACAGTCACCAATTTTTTGTTACATGGTTAAATCTCATTATAATTTAAACATTGGAAAGAACGAACATATTCACCAGCTACACTGACATTATTAAAGATAAAACTGTCAGAAAATTTATTTGTTAGCCAGATAAAACTTTGACAATCGTAGAATTCTACTTGATATACCAGTTTTTCACGTAAATCTAAGAATTCATACAAATAAATCAAAATGCAAACATAGCCAAATTCAAATATTTTTTAAAAAAATTATTGGAGTGAAATACAACCTACCAGTTCAAACTCATAAAACCTATATCGTAAAGAAGTTGAAGTTTTTCTGCAATCCATTTACGAGGATTTTCCGGTAACATGACGCTTAAACCACCTAAAAGTGCCTTCAATAATAATCAGTAATAATTGTGAATAAACCATCAGAATATCGTAAAACAGGATTGTTGATTATGTATGCTTTTATAGAGTTATAAATAATTTTATTATTCATCTGATAAGTAAATAAATTGTATAACACTTTCCACTAAAATAATTTTATTGTATCTTTTATAGTGTTATTCAATTGTACAAATATTAATGAAGACAACAAATAATAGTGAATACAAATCTTGTTATCTGTAATTGGACAATTTGAATACTGATATTTCTTGTGTTTGATCATGTAATCAAATTCTCATTAGCTTTAATATCAAGTTATTCATAACTTCAATAGTTTTAATGTACTAAAAATGTTCATAGCTTCAATTGATTACATAAGTAAACAGACAAGCATCTACTAAACACTCAGCATAAAAACAACAGATGATGAAATGATTGACAACATTAAAAAAAGATGCATTTATAAATGATTTATTCTTAAATTACTAAATTATATATATATATATATATATATATATATATATATATATATATATATATATACAGAGAGTGAGAGACAAATAATAGTGAAAGCTTTACCCTGATTTTTTAATCACTTCTCATGAGTTTTAGAGGTAATTAGAATAACCCATAGTGTCATTGAATAAGAAAAAGAGTTCAGAGAAGGAAATTTTTTTACGATGAAATCATTTACTTAAGCTGTACACTCATATATATAGTTATATGGAAAACATATATCTATAGAAGGATAGAATATCTTGTATCATAAAATGATTTGAGGTACTTATTTATATCACTTGATATTCAGCCCCAAGGTTTCTCTTCTTTTACTACAGTATTTGCTTTCTAATATTGTAAATAAACTTTTGGACAATTATTAGCATATTTTTTTACTATTAATATAAACCTAGATCAACTTCCACATCAACTAGTTAATTTTATCTAAGTTTTTTTCTCAAATTATCAGTAATTTCGTTTTTAAATTGTAGACAGATGATAAAGCTCTTTAAAATAATGGAACCTATATCTTTCTGAGATTTGTTTTATTCCGTATAAATAAAAATTTATATTGGTGACCACTTATTGAAGTGTAAATGATTGACAATTATCCATCTGTAAGGGAAATATTATTGCAAACTCTACAAAATTTTGAATATGTATTTCATGAACATTTGACTTACTAATAGTCTATATCACGAAGTAACTTGAATTAGATAGCGACTGAAACCTATGAAGTACTGCAAAGTTTTGTCGTTCTAGTTTGGGACTTGTCCATAATGAGGAACCTTAGTATGGTGTGGAATAGATAGAGGCATTTTAGATCTTATGATGAGCAAACTACGTTTAGATGATTGACTTGGGACCCAATAGTTCTCATTTCTGAACTTACTATTAAAAATTTATGGTTAAAATATTCAATTTTAAATCATCCTAAAGACTTTCTGGAGATTAGAACTCTTAAAGATACGGGACCAATTATCATAACAGGAATTGGAACTTTAATCTCAAGGAATATAAAAGTAATATGAAAATTCGTTCATCAGAAAATGTACTGAAATGTTCACAAAGAGTTCAAGGAAGCTGATTTAGTCTTTATATTAAATTAGCTTTTATAAATAATAGACCCAACTTAAGCTAAATTTGATTAACATACATATGTACTAACAGGTTTAACCAATGTTCATCAGCCTGCACTAGTTTGATAACATTTAAATCGAGAGGAGCAAAGCATTTAATCAACAAAAACAACCTATCTATATTATTCTATGCACCTAACAATCAGCTGGTTTTAGTGGATGATTATTACCAACAAAATAATTCTTTGTATATGTAACATTTACTATTTTGTCTACATGACTTTACTCTCGCTTTTCAACTCTATATAGACTGAAGAAAAGCTAATATATCTTTGGTGCAAATAGATCACTTATTGCTTTATCACAATACAAGAAAAATTCTTAAGCTATACAAGAATATAATAAATTAAAACTTGGGGAGGTTTTCGGGAATTTCTTTAAAACATTTGGTTGGTTAGAAATGCCTTTAATGTTTAGGTTAAGACTTCTGAATTAAGTTTTTCAATTTACAACTTTTGTATCTTAATACAATTCGTTTTAATTAAATTATGTTTACCTACATTTTAAAGTAAGTAAATGTTAAAAAGTTGCACGTTTACAAGAATAAGGTCATGTTTGAATTTATTATTTCAATTGTACAAGAAAAAAACGAAGCGTGTTTATTCATTAGCCTCAACTAATCATACGAATGATAACTTTAATCAAATTACTTGAATGTTGTGATTTGTTTTGCATACACCATTAATCAATTTAGAAATTACAGGAGTGAAATGAGTTCTGAGTAGTATAACTAGCCTTCACGCATATTGAGTTTCAAGGCTGATTACATGAACCTTTAACGCGTTACATATTTGAATCAAATATTGAGGCAAGTTGACACAGTTCAGCCCTATCTGATTTTATAAGGAATATGTACAAAGTTCGGTTGTAATTTTGTTGATTGGATTAAACAGAATTTACACCTATGAAGTACGTTTTGATAACATTTTGATTAATGATAACTATTTTAAAGTATTCGACCATTTCTTTATATATAAGAAATTTCAATAATGCTAACAAAATATTCTTACCTCAAAAACCTCATACAAATGATGTTTTCGTGTATATTTCAGTAGATTTGGGTCAGGTTTCCTAATGTAAATTTCTATTTGATCCTACAATGTTGATTTTAATATAGACATAAAATTTTTTAGAGAAATTAAAGTTTTACCAAACTATTTTCTGAGTAAATCATATAAAAAACCCTGAATTTTCTATAAGAAATTATGTATTTAACTTCTGTCTGCACAAATACATATATAATATTAAACTATTTAACAAAATTAAAACGTGGTAGTGGATTTACAATAGCAGTCTCAATTTCTTCAAAAACAGTGTGAATATCTCTGTCTGCATGCACTTTAACCACACATGAATCATAGTACATGATAATGTCATCTCTGTTAGCTGCAAATCTTGATAACTTTGGGCCTATAGCATTTTCTTCATCATTCGGACGCTGCAAAGCACGTTGACTTATGCATGCATCTTCCATAAATTCGAATGCTGTATGAAAACATATACCAGTGATTGGATCAATTCTACGTCCAGAAAGTCGTTCAGATGCACAAGATTGATGTATATCCATTAAAATAACTCGGGTCGGGTATACTTTATGCGATGATAGTAGCTCTGCTTGTTGACGTGTACGTGGATATCCGACAAGTATCCAACCATATGTAATGCAATCAATTTCATTCAGTCTGTTTCTCACAACTTCAGAGACTATGGCATCTGGAACTAGGTTTTAAAGGAATGGAAAATAGCATTAAAGTGCAAATCGTAGCAATGTTTGGTATAATTACCACCAAAATATATAAACCCTCATTATAAAGGAATGGTTATATACCACATGAAAAATTGTTTATGTCATAAACATAAAAGCAACAATTATGATGTTTAAACTCTTAACCATAATATATGATAACACCATTATATTTTGTATCAAATACTGTAAACAAAAAGGAATTTGAGTGATTTTCATAAAAAATATGTTAAAATTACCATCATAAGTAAGTCTGTCCCGAGGTTATTGAACCCAGGAGCAGTTCCAACGTATGTGTAATATATTAAACTGAAGACTTCTCATCATATGTCTAATGAAACCAGCAACTTAACAGTTCAACAATTGGTCAATCTTTAGACTATCTTAATGAATAAGAGTTTGTACAAGAAAGAACACATCTGATATACAAAATACCGTACACAACAGAAAGAAAGACTTAATAAATATACCTGGAATATTTTTTTGAACATAAGTTTTCATTATGTTCCCAACTGAAGAACGATTAGCTACTTCACGAAGTATAAGCTGCCCACAGTCCACTGGAATTAGTCCATACTTTTTAGCTAGCAAATTTGCTTGTGTATGTTTTCCAGCTCCAGGATAGCCTAATAAAACGATTTTAGGAGTTTGCAGAGCAACACCGCGACGACATTGGTTTACCTTTGCCAAAACGGAATGATATAAGTCATTGATTGGTTGATCTGCATTAAATTCATAAGCAACACTAGAATAAATTCTTTTCAGTAGAACCATTTGTCTGTTGTATTCGTTGTAAAGATTTTTAATTGTTTCTTCATCATTTTCTGCAAGTTTTACCAAGCGTCTCTCGACTGTTAAATCAACTGGGGGGTTATGTAGTAGATTATATAAATCTAATGTAAATCTAAAATTAAGGATTATTTCTTGTTTTCACCTCCATTATCAGGATCCATCCTTTCTCCTGATGCTCTTTCAATTAATGTAAGCAAAGGTGCATCTAGAAAGACTACCATGACCACTTCATAAAAAGTAATTATCACTTCATACTTGCATAATCAGGAAATATTCCTTCATTTGTAAGTGCTTTAGCTTCTTTTTCACATCTTGGGAAATCGACAATAATATAACCTCTTGATTCACAATCAGATTCATTAAGCCGTTTCTTCAAAGCAGCAATTAGTTTTTGTACCGTAGCATTCTATCAGGCAAAATCATAACACAGTTATAGCAGTCTAAGTTTCCAAAGGTTATGTTACCTCGTATGCAATAAGTCACGTTTAAGGATGAGGACGGAATAAAATAACCCACAAGTACTTGAAATGGCCATGAAAGATCTTATTTTGCAAAAATCGCTCGACCTAACAAGTAAATAATTTGCTTAGTAAAAATTATTTAATATGATAACCGCAAAGACATTGAAAAAAACCCATTTTTTCTTCAAGTTTTTTAATTCACAAAAGTTATTGATAGACTTACGTTCCACTGACAAAGCAACATATAAACAAATTTTAATATTAAGCAAATGATATGAATAAAAGAGCAAACCATTTGTGGCGGCAATGACATAAAACGCCGAATTGGATTAACAGTATGGTTAAGAAATAGTCCTATTAAATTCACTTCAATATTTCACGGTAGAAAATTATTTTATTACATGTCAAATAGTTATGAAACTAACGTACATCCAGGTGTGTTGGAAAGTGTTCAAATTAGACAGCAATATTAGAACACCTGCTAAACATTTTAGGTGATCACAAGTGTGTAAGTTTAGACACGCATATAACCAAAATTACGTCTTTTATTAAAGGTAAATTTCACGAGTGTTAATTCTTATTAAACTTAAAAATAACACAATATATGCTCTACCAAGTGATTAAAGAAACAGTGGTTGCAAGTGCTTTGAAAGTTTTACTCGACGAAAACTGTAAAAATATTTTAATGTAATTGTAGTTAAATCAGACAGTGCTTGTTGTGGTGTTTGTACGAACTAATGGTTCCTTGGTACTACATTGACCGCTGATCCCGAATTCTAAATATAATACGTTCATTTTTGCTTACCTAGTTCTACTTTCTGTATATCGCACTATTTCGGAAATTCCTAGATAGTACAGTAATTTGAATACTCCTAATTAACAATATTGGCGTCACGATAGATACATATTCAAACTCTGAAGTTCACCAAGATTTTATGAAGAGGTTTGTAATCTGGAGTATGAGCAGGAAACATGTTGACGATAAAATTGGGGCTCATTTACTCACATCCATCGGACGGGCTACCTGCAGCTTACTAAAAACTTTGACTTTATCAGGTAAGCCTGTTGTACTCCCTTACGCAACTCTCAAAGAACTACTGCTACTAAATCACGTTAAGTGTACTGATTTTAAAAGCCGTAAAAGGTTAAAATTTCATAAATAATTCGCCGGGACACCAAGAATTTCCCTACATTACTTAGTTATTCTAACCCAATGCGTGCTCAAGATTATAAAGATAACAATTCTTTGGCCAGCCACAAATCAGGCTACAGAGATGAGCACAGGTTTGGTAAATGCTTATCCTGCAGTAAATTTTGCTCTTGTAATTCATATGTGATTTGATATGCCAAATCCTTTAAGTGTGGTAAAACGGGACACATACTGTCAGTTTATAGAACTACTGTTTTTTGCCACTAGTGATGAAAAAATCCGTAGTTTGGATTTTATGAGGTTTAGTGTTTCTAGTGATCATTTATCTTTATTCGCAATTTTGGCAGATAACGGCTATATTCAGAAGCAATTATATACCCCCTTTGATTCATTTGATAACTTTAGTGTTGATACAGGCCGTATAGTGTCAGACTTGCATAACTCTGAAACTGAACTACAACCAAATAAACTTGTGTTTCGCGCGATACTGGTCAGGCAAGCTGGAGAGACCCGTACTCAGAAAATAATTGGTTTCATCAAGATGAATATAGGTGTATTAAATGAAAGTCAAAATCTTTATGAGATAAAGGTTTCTAGTGGATCAACTTCATCAGATTTTTCGTGTTATTATACCAGATATGGGTTTTCCTAGTGATTTGCATGATTTTGATTAATTTCTTATAAATATGGGAGAAACATGTCTAGTGAATCAAATCATGATCGGAAATTCGATGCAATTTTGATCGACGCTGATATTTTTAATGACCTATTATTCTCCTAAACAATTCTTAATAAATTTGAAGAGAATATTTCGGAGAAATCAAATCCTGATGATGTCATATCAAGTGTTATTTGTCCTCATAATGTATTTGTTCCTGGTGGAAACCTTGGTTAATTTGAAGATGTTTTAAGTTAATTCAAACGTAACTACAGTTTGGATGATCTCATATCAAGTGTTGTTTATTCTCAACATGAAGTCACTTCAAATGAATCCTCAAGTCAGTGTGAGAAATATGTTTTAAATAAAGTCACGTTGTTTGTAACTTGGGTATATAAAGATCCAACATTATTTTGTGGAGGAGGACAGTGCTGGAAAATCTATTGCTCAAATTCTAGATATTAAGGATTTAGAAACATACGACCGACATGTTAATCAAATACACTTTCAGGAACCAAGTGAGTCTATTTCGATAACGGTTGTTAATTCTAATACTAATGAGTACATTCAAAATCACCCAGAGTCTACATCCAATACACTGTCAGACAGACACACGATGAGGTCAATGAGAAATATAATCGTTCACAGAAATTTAAGCTGTGGTAGACGTGATATTTGTGAGAACCAATGATTCTTTGGTGCTTGATACTTAGGTAAATGATCCTAAAGCAAGTCCTTTGGATGAATTTCACGTTATTTGCACAAATAAAGGTTTTTAATCCTTAGAAATTTCCGGACTATTCACAGGAGAAAAACATCAGGACAGAAAAATCAATATAAGGCAAAAGGAAAATAAAAAGAATGAAAACTATCTGTATCTGTCAGCAAAGTGATCTGTAATTTGGAAGTTGTTATTCAAATTCCATAAAATAAACACCAACCTCACAAAGAAAAAAAACATACATAATGATACCATTAGGCTGCTCATTCGGGTGTTTGATAGCCTTGGAGATTTTCCAAAATTTAAAAGTTTAAAACTGTTAGTTTGATAGCAAAATATGGTTGAAAAATGGTTGGGCTAAAGCATTATACATTCACTCATCTATACAAGATCTTTAAGACTCATGTATGTAGTTGTGACAATCCTAACGAAAGGCACTACACACAAGAAATTAGGTTTGTTGAAGTGTCCTAAATTTTGAGGCAACTAAGTGAACTGAGGCAGGTTATATGTGATTTAGACTGGAAAGTCTTTATTTTTCTTCATAGAAGAAATCTTTTTAGAATTTTGATTTGAAAAACAACTGTAAGTGAGTTCGCAAAAAAATCATTCATCACGTTAAAATTGAATTTTTCCAGGACTGTATTGCAAAAAGTGTTTCATAATTCAAACATTCCATAAGATTTAAAATATTGATTTAACTTAAGCCGATCTAATGGCTATTGATTTCACTACGATTGTCGAGGTAACCCAGGACAAATAAAATTTAGGTGTTATTGTTTCGATTTCATACTGGCAGTTGAAAATAAGTTTTATAATGATAAAAAGGATTAGCTAACTTTCTCTCCCGGACATAAACTGTATACGTCGTCCCCATGAATGATTGTGCACTGCAGTTTCACTTGCAACATGGAGCCCAGCAATCTCTTGCCTGAAGACTTTGGACCAAAAATATAAATAGAAGGTACTAAAGCTGTCTTTTAATTGAAGTGAAACTACCATCTCCGACATCTTTTTCCAGGCACCTAATTAGATAAGATATAGGATCTCCAGGACGATTGATTATTAAAAGTTTTAGTAACCTCTGAAGAGTAAAAACAAATAACAAAACCTGCATGAGCTCAAATATTGAATGTTTCTCAGCATAGTCCATATACTCTGAAGGAATTCGTGTACACTTGGAAAGTGAACCCATTTTAAATATCCCTCGGAGTTTTTAAAACTATGACAACTAACGAAACCGAAAGAAAACTTTAAAGCACAGAGTGTATTGCGAATGACGACTTCAAACATTCGGGAAAAGAAACATGAATCTTTTAAATGAAGATTCAGTGACAAGATTCATAAGTAGGTGTGGCAAAATATAAGAAACGATACATGAAGTTTAAGATGGATGTGGAAGGAGCAAAATTCTTATGTGAAAATAAAAAGACGGAAAGATGGTTATCGGATACGTCTATTAATAAACCATGAAAACAGGTCGCATTTTGATGAGTGGTGATCTGGAAGTCATTGAAACTATCAACTAATAAAACCACTGCAAATGCACCACAGAAATCTCAGGCTGGATGAAAAAATAAGTCACATATAAAAGCTTTGAATGCAATGTAATCCATCCTAATTATACATTCAACTTTAACATTGCAATTCAAGTGAAAAAACAGTAAAATGATTTTTATTATTGAGTGATTTCATTAATGGAAATAAAAGATTGAGGAGGTAAATAAATTCCCGAAAAAAATAGTCTTCGACGCTGATGTCGATAAATTACATGGCTCGGAATATATGAAAGCGTATTTATCATAATGTAAGGGTGAATAAGAACCCAAAATAAACTATTCTGTAGGTCTTTGACGTTGATGCTGGCCTCAATAGTCTTAGTGAACGCGCCTAGTTGAAGGCGCTCGGTCACGCACTTACGCCGGGTCACGTGTACAACTTGTACATACGTGTTGCCACTACAAGCCAGCTTAGACCAAACACATCGCGATATATCGATGGCGTTTTGAATATACCTTTAAACCACTTCATTTCTGACTTGACTAGGTTGGCATACTTCTATTGTGATAGTGTCACGTGTAAAGATATTGTCAAACTCTGCATACTTTTGACACTATTAGTAGTGAACTCAACGTGATCTGGTACACCAAACAATAAACCATTGGTCTGTTGCTTGCTGGAACTTTATATATCGTGATGTTAATTTTGTACTTTATATATTTTTTGCTGATTTGTATATCTTTTCTCCATTACGACTGGACAGATTATCGAAATGTTCAGACTAAGAATCTTTTACCTGTCAATAGTCAATAATTACCATTGTGGCCGAATTATATAGAAGACCGGTTCTGCAGACTTCTAAGAGTATAAACTCACGTGCAGAATCTTTTGCAGGAGTAAAGGCACTACTACGCTATTTTAACAGGTACGTCACACCTAGTATGTTCACTTGTGATGTTTCGCAACCTTATGTCACTTTACAAAAAGTTATACATTTTCAACAACATCAAGTTACAACAAGGCTCAGCAACAGATATGTTGCTACGGATGCAATTATTCATTAGCAACAAACCTTCGATTAAAACATGCTAAAACGGCTCTTCTTTTCCAGGTTTTCTTGACAGGCGCAGGAGGTTATTTTCTCGTTTCAAAATAACACCGTCAAAGGACTAGCGGCATCTGCCAATCGGACCTGGGATCACCAGAACCCTCTGAGTTGAGTTTTACCCTGTCAAAGAAAAGCCTCAATCGGCAAAAAATGACATCACGAATTTCTGTCATACTCTGACTCATTGTGTTACTATTATGATAATTGTACACTCTCCAAAACTCTTGGAAGTTCTTCACGAAAAAGGTCTGTCCACAGATTACGAGAGGTAGATAACCCTGTTTATTGTTAACACTAAAATAAGTATGACAAGACTTCTGGAAGTTGCAGAACACTCTGTAGTTTCCCGATCTTTAAATTGTCCGATGCGGATAACCTCTCAAGAATTTTCTTCTCCATCAGGCGTCAGCGGCGATCGTACCTGGCGACCACAACTGTCTGCTGCATATCGCCGATGTTATGACAAAAGTTCACTAGCTCGTCGGCACTGGCGCAATAGTTAATGTTCTCCTCGCAAATTCTAACAAACGTTTGAATGAACCAGTCTTCAACCCACAGGCGTCAAATGGGAAACCGATTGCGCATACGTAACACGATACGTTTATCTGAACGTGAGTTAACGCAAATACATCTCCTGGACTTTGGTTGGTGGAGATGTCTCTATACCTATCATTGGAACAGCAGCAGAAAAGCAATAATCTGTTTATGGACACTCAAACAGAAGTTAGTAGGTGACAACACTGGATTATCTGTTTGTTTAGCTTCATTTCCCTGCTGCATATTCTCCCCAGTTATTGTCAGGCACATAAACCACCCATGCTACCAACGCATAGCCGAAGATCACCCCGAAATGTATGAATCGAGATCAAAACTACCTGACGTAACCAGCAATGCTGCACACTAAACTATGACTCTAGAACCGCCTGTATACTAGAAAGCACGCCGACTAGCTCCCGTAATGCTACGGCTGGCAAAAAGCGAATTCAGTCACGCGGTAGAATTTCGAATTATCCGTTTATTGAAATGTTCATGGACATTACCACTGCATATGGCTCTTGAAAAGGACGTCAATGATTAGCGTCTAACTGGTGACTAAATATAAAAACCACTACAGATCGTGAAATCAACAATACATTCACCCATCAACATCGCCATACACGCAATCTGACAACAATGGATAAGCTTTTTTATGGAGTTTTGTTCTCTGAGCTGAATGGTTTGGTCGTGGATCTCAAGTTTGTGCTGATGATGTTGTTCAGAAGAACGATGAAAGCTCCACGACCAAAAAATCCAGCTCAGACAACAAAACTCCATCAAAATCATCCACCTGATCTACAAATCTTCTCCACCATCTCACAATGGATAAGCAGAACCTGACAACTTTAGGCAATCTTCGTGAGACGGATGCAAGACTCTTATTTGAAGTAAGGCAATTTCAGCAAAGAAATCCTAGCCATGTATTTTGCTATACTGCACTTTCCGTACCCTGTGGGAGGCTGATAATTCACTGTATTTATTAACTATAAACCCTTTACTTTTTTCTTAGTTTGTCTTCGGGCAAGTACTCTTGTCAAGAGTTCCAACAACTAGAATATACCTAACAATTTAAATCAGATCTACAACACATTTATGGGGCAACATTGTGGTAGCAGACGCTTTTATTCCTATTACGTCCTTGAACGGCTGCCAAGGAATCGACCTTCTAAAACTCGTTGAGCTTTAGAAAGAAGACACTGATCTTCAGCATCAGTTATCTTCGAAAACCCTGTTACTACGGATCAAACAGGTGGAAACAGGTAGAGACACTTTTCTATGTGACACGTCTATGGGTAAGGATCGTCCAACCGTTCCAAGATATTCTCAAAGCAATATCTCCAATAAGTTGCACAGGATTTCCCATCCAAGTGTTCAAGCAACAATCTGGCTGATGTCAAAACAATTTCCTTGACCTGATAGGAGCATTGACATGAGGGATTGGGCACGCTCGCATGTGAGCTGCTACAAACCCAAGGTGATTGGACACAACTAATCTCATCTAGGTTCCTTGAAATCGCCAAAATTTCATTCTGAGCATGTTCATCTGGATTTGATGAGACTCTTAGCATATTCGAATGGATGTTCTAACCTCTTAGCGTGTACATATCGTTTCACGCGATGAATACAAACATCAGCTAACAAGAACATGACTACTGTAGCATCAACTGGCGCCTTTATTGAACAATGGATAGCAAACTTTGGCTGCCCACCAGCTTGTACTACAGGCTGTGGGCGCTAGTTCGAATCACATAGTTCCGAATCACTACATATCACCCATAAGCAAACGGGTTGATAGACCGGTTACGCCAACAGCTAAGGGCCTTGCTCCCAGTTGTAGATGCTTCATGGTGGGCTGTCGTAGGACGAAGTCACTCGCTCCACATCTGTTTTCGGTGGCATATCTCAACGGGGTTGAAAGAGAGTGCAAGAAAAGAAAAAATAAAGATCGAGACGCGGAGCAGACATGAGGGAATAGTTAAGGTATGACTACTCAGTATAATCTTCTTTTATTAAGACACATATTAAGCAAAAGCATTCTAACAAGTTAAAGAAAATAAGTGTAAACAAGTTATGAGTGGATAAATAACTGACAAATGGAGGTAGTTCATAAAGAATCTGAATCTAGGATTATGTGTAGTTATAAAATACAGTGCTGAAAACAGTATTATGATGCACAAACGGCTGTCTTCTTTTTGATCGAAGCTATCTGAGTCCATTTTTTGTCGATTTTATAGGGTCTTGAGCAGGCTTCGTTTTTAGCGTGTAGTGGCACTGGATCATAACCACACAATCCTCAAAGCTGAACACGGAACCACTCGGAGAACAGTTATTCATTGCAAATTCAAATACTACATCACTGATAAAAATGGGACGAATGATAACGTCAACACTGACCGTTAAAATGCCTCGTACTTGAAGGGAAACATCAGTAATGTTGATTTTCTTCATGTACATTATTGTTTTAAAAACATACAAGGTTTTTTTGAATGTGTTCATATGTATGAGTATATTTTTTTGTTCTAAAAAACATCCGAAAATGCATTGCACGAGAATTCTTTCTACACTAATGCATGTCAACAACACGCATGTATGCCAGTTTGTCTTTGTGTCCTTACACACGTACGAGTTCATTTCGACATGCGCTTATAAGCTTTTTTCCCAGAACGGGTGGACATGATCAATAGCTGAGGAAAAATATGACGAATAAAAATTTTCATCATAAAAATGTTTTATCGTCATATAGCGCTACGTAACTCTTTATATCAGACAAAAAGGACGAGTACAGCTGAACGCAGCATGCTGTCAGAAGAGTGTTTATTAACGTCAAGTTCGTCGTATATGAAGATCTGAATGACAGAGTTCTAAGATCATCACTACCCTATTAAAATGCGTCTTATTCGGTATTGGTACATTCGCCTTAATTATTATTATTATTATTCACAAACATCTTATGGGTACATAAGTGTTGTGAAGAAACGATTTCGCGTTTTTTCAAAAATGCAATAATACAAAAGTTTCAATAATGTTAGCATTATATTTGCCATATTTGA